CACACCATCACACCGCTCGTGGTCTCATAGCGATGTCCTCCGAAGGTTCCGATGGCAAGGTTCGCCTGCGGCCCCTGCCCATCGCGCCTCGCGCGCCGACGCCCCCGCCCCCGCCCCCGATCACATCGCCGCTTCACTTTGGCGCCCAACATGGGTCGGGGGGGCGGGCGGGCCTTCCGCCGCCGCGCGGCTCGACGAGGGAAGCCGCGGGGGGGGGGGGGGGCGGAGAATGGAATATGGAATGGATGGGGGCGGGCGGGGAAACCGCCGGGGGTTCCGCGTAATCCACCCGAGCCGATCTGCCGCAGCAGCGGCCGGCGCCATGCGCGCGGGGGAGACGCCGCCGACAGTTGGGCGGGCGATCCCTGTGGCGAAATTGACAAGCCGAGGGAGGGAGGCGCCGTCGGCGTCGGCCTCGGACTCGGCGCCGCTCGCGTCGGCGATGGCACCCGCTTCGTCGTCGGCCCGGGGGCCCGGGGCACCCCGCGGAAGCGCGGGGCCGGGGCCAAGCCCGCCGCTGCGTCCCAGAGCGGGCCGCGCCTTCCCGGCGCCAGCGCCCTCTGGCGACTTCCGGCGGCGCTCGGCTGCTGCGCGGAGAAGCCCGAGGCCCGCCCCGGGGGGGGCGTCCGGGAAGAACGCCCTCAGCCACGCAGCGCCTCCGGCCCCGTCGCCCGCCTCGCAAAGAACCTCCAGCGTCGCGACCCCCCGCCTGAATGCCTCTCGGAAATGCCCCAGGCCGACCCCCCTCAGCACAAGCCGGCGTCGCCGGCTCGAACGGGCGCTGCTCAGGCGGGGGGGGGGTCCGATGCGGGCGCTCGCCACCCTTCAGCGGGCGCGGGGCGGGCGACGCGGGGTCTGCGTCGACGTCGCGCCTCTTCTGGCGCTCAGGCATCTTCACTTCTCTGTGAGCATCTGGCCGCCGGATGAGGCGCTCCACCTGCTGGCGCCCGCAAACGCCGCAAGTGGTGGCCACGGGGCACCAGGCACAAAGCGTCTCCACGCGCAGCGCCCCCGCGCATGACGCCGCGCCAGGGCGCGCCAGAACTGGCGCGCCTGCGGGCGGAGACAACGAGGACCTTCCAAGAGACGGCCTGGAAGAGCACATTGCCGTTCTCCGCCAGAGGGTCGTCCACGCCCATGTCGCGGAGCGCCTGGCTGAGTTCCAGGGCGGTTGTCGCGTGCAGGAGGGCGCTGAGCTGGCGCGATTGGGCTGCTGGCGACGGCTAGGCGGCGCCGGCTGCGGGCCTCTGCCCGACCCCCGCCCTTAGAGGCCTCCCAGAGGGTGTCGGAGTAGACGAGGTCGGAGGATCGCGCCGCATCGCCAATGCATCGCTGGTTTATCGGCGACGCATCGGCGATGCATCGGCGCCGCCAGCGATGCGTCGGCGGCGTCGGCGCGGGGAGAATTGGCACCCGCATCGGGCCGCATCGCCGATGCATTGCCGATGCATCGGCGCATGCGGCGCGATCCTCCGACCCAATCTACTCGGACCCGATCCAGGAAGCCTAGAATCCTTGAAGGTGCACAACGTGCGGCGCATCGCCGTGTACGTCGTGCAGTCTGCTCCCGCGCGTCGCACGCTCGCTGTGGCGTCGTGGTAATCGCATGCCCCCGAGCGGCTTCGCCCGGCCAGATGCCCCCCCCCTTCTCAGCGAGGGATCCGGGAATGGTTCCCCTGGAATCCCTGGGAGGGCTGCGTTGTCCCGGTTAGCTGTCCGGCGCACACGCAGCTGCGCGCAGTGCTCAGGCTGGCCCACGAATGTCGGGGGCGGCATTTTCACGTTCCTCGCGAAGCCCTCCAAGTCACGCCAGCGCCACGACTCCTGCGCACGAGCGTCGCCCGCAGACCCCGGCTGCACGCGCTCAATGCCGGCCCACCAGCCCGCGCCCCACCTGCACCCTGGGACGCCCGCCCAGGACCCCGACCCCCGACGTCGTGATTTGTGCACAACGTCGACCCCCTGAGGTCTGGACCCCTTCCCCGGGACCGGTTCTTCGTCCTGAATCGTTTTTCGACGCTCCCGAGGCCCGGTGAGGGCCCCCGGAGGCCGAAAATAGCGAAAAACCTCCCGTCGTGATTTTTTCACGACGCGAGGGGGTCTGGGGACGCGGGGGAGAACGTTTGCCGCGCCGTCTCCGCCGGCATCCCCCGGCAATCGTGTCTCTACAACGCCTCGCGCGCGGGGGCCTCTCCCGGCTCCTCGAGCACCTGGAAGAAGCAGCGGCTGAGCGTCGCGCAGAGCGGGGCCCATGGGCTGCGCGCGGAGGCATCCGATCCAGGGTCGGATCACGTCGGTATGCTTCGGGTCGCGGACCCAGACCCCCGACGTCGTGATTTTTTCGCAACGTCGACCCCCAGAGGTCTGGACCCCTTCCCGGAGACCGGCTTCTCGCCCCGAGTCGGTTTTTGACGGTCCCGGGGCCCAGTGGGGGGCCCCCGAGGCCGAAAATAGCGAAAAACATCCCGTCGTGATTTTTTCACGACGCCAGGAGGTCTGGGGAGGTGGCGCTGCAGCACGTTGAAGCTGCCCGTGCGCCACGCCCTCCGCTGGTCCAGGGCGTCGGGCGGGGGCCCCGCGGGAGGCGGTGCCGCGCGCGCAGGGAAGCGCGGGGTGGCGCCGACGAGGTGCGCCAAGGCCCAGCCCCCCGCCCTGGAAGATGCGGGGGCAGTCCGCTCCTCCTCCTCCTCCTCCTCCTCCTCCTCCTCCTCCTCCTCCTCCTCCTCCTCCTCCTCCTCCTCCTCCTCCTCCTCCTCCTCCTCCTCCTCCTCCTCCTCCTCCTCCTCCTCCTCCTCCTCCTCCTCCTCCTCCTCCTCCGTCCCAGTGTGCTGGAACGCTGCGCAGGCCTTCTCCTCCCCCGCGTGCCAGGCGCAGGGGCACTGGCGGACCTCAGCGGCGAAGTCTGCGCTGAGGAGGTGCGCGCCAGCCTGCTTGACGCCACCAAATTTTGAGAATGTCTCACGCGACGACACGTAAAAACAATGTTTGATCTGGATGTTTTTGACCCTTATATATACAACAAGCCAACCAACCAGCCAACCAACCAACCAACCAACCAACCAACCAACCAACCAACCAACCAACCAACCAACCAACCAAACCACCAACTAACCAACTAACCAACCAACCAAGCAACCACCCAACCTCCGATCTGGCGCGTGAGCTACAAGGAGCCTCGGCGAGAGCTTCAGCTCTGAGCCTAAGCAAGAGCTTCAGCTCTGCTTGGGGGGGGTCGCCAGGGTTGCTCTGCCAGGGAAGGGGGTGAGGGGGGGAGGGCGGTCCTCCATCTGGCGTTTTCTTCATGATTTGCGCATCCTACCCCCCTGGGAGGGGGGGGAGGGGCGGTCCCCCATCTGGCGTTTTCTTGATGGTTTGCGCATCCCCACGATGTTTCGGGGGGCCCCAGGGACCCCCTTTCAGATCTAGCCGCTACCGCCCCCAGGACCCTCCCCTCGGAACCCTCCCTGGACCCCCCCACGTGGCCGCTCCAGGCACCCCCCCAGAGGAGAGGAAACAGGACCAGAATAGTCGAGGAGCCGCGAGGATCACCGAATCCAGAGCCCACTCGCCGGAGGCCATTACAATAAACCAACCAACCAGCCAATCAGCGAACCTGCGAATTCAACCAACCAACCAACCAACCAACCAAACAACCAGCCAACCAACCAACCAACCAACCAACCAACCAGCCAACCGACCAATCAACCAGTCCTTCCCGAAGGACTTTTGGTGGCTGTCCTACGCGACGGCTCTGGGGAAGAGATTTTTGACCTGGAAAGAATTTGCTTGACCCCGGAAAAATTTACCCACCAACCAACCAACCAACCAGGCAGCCAGCCAGCCAGCTAACCCAACAACCAACCAATCAGCCGACGAACCGACCAGCCATTCCGAAAGGACTTTTGGAGGATGACCCACAAAACGGCTCCTGGATTTGTTTTTGTTGACCCGAAAAACGCACCAACCAACCAAGAAACCAACCAACCAGTCAGCCAACCAACCAACCAACCAATCAACCAACCAACCAACCAGCCGACGAACCGACCTGTCATTCCGAAAGGATTTCTGGAGAATGTCCCACGCAACGGCTCCTAGAAAGAATTTGTTTGACCCCGAGAAAAATATGTTGACCCCAATTGTTTCTCATTGTTGAACGAAAATTGAAGAAAATATTTGTTTTGACCCAGCACAAATCATCACCACCACCACCACCGTTACTGTCAACATCACCGTCACCATCATCAGCATGATCAACATCACCATCATCATCAACAATATTCATCACCATGAGCATCACCATCACCTGCAGCATTATCATCATCAGAATAACCACCACCACCATCATCACCAACATCATCATCACCACCATCATCATCAGCAGCATCAGCATCTGCATCAGCATCATCATCGTCTTCGTCGTTGTCGTCATCATCATCAGCAGCATCAGCATCAGCATCAGCATCATAATCATAATCAGCATCCGCATCATCATCAACATCAGCATCAGCATCATCATCAGCAGCATTATCATCAGCATCATCATCAGCATCATCCTTATTATCATCGCCACCACCAACCCCAAACATAATCGTCATCAAAATCATCATCATCATCATCATCATCAGCAGCATCATCATCATCATCGTCATCCGTATCATCATCATCGTCGTCATCAGCATCAGCATCATCATCATAAGCATCATCAGCATCAGCATCCATCTCATCGTCGTGGTCGTCGTCAGCAGCAGCACTGGTCCGTCATCATCATCATCATCATCATCATCAGCATCATCATCATCATCATCCTCATCATCATCATCACCACCACGCCACATCCATCATCATCACCGTCGCCGGCGGCGTTGACACCATCGCAGTCAACATTAGCACACCTCATAAAGAATCTTTCAGTTAATAACACCAGAGAACCATCATCATCGATGTTGGCATCGCCCCACCGTCATTATCGGCAACAGTATCTGCCTCGCCATCACCACCACCATCCCACACCGCCTGCCTCCGCGGCTCCACCCCGCCGGCCCAGCGGAAGGGCACCCAGCGCCGCGGCTCTCACCTCGGCGGCCCTAGCTGAACATGCTAGCGCCGAGCTTCGGCGCGAAGCCCCGCGACCCCGGGACCAGGAGGGAGGGCTGGTGCACGCAACACCAGTCGGGCCCAACCTCGACCGCGGGCAAGGAGGGGAGGAGGACAGGGGAGGGGAGGGGAGGGGAGGGGAGGGGAGGGGAGGGAAGGAGAGGAAGCGGGACGAGAGGGGGAGGGGGAGACGGGGCGGCATGGGAGAGGGCGGGATGGGGGAGGCAGGGGGAGGGGGCAAGGGGAAGCCGAAGGGAGGGGGAGGAGGGGGGGAAAGGGGAGACGGGGGGGGGGAACGATGAGCTTGAGGATCGCGAGCGAATGGAAGGCCGGTGCCGTTGCGGGTCAGAGGGGGCCCAGCAGCAACCAAGCAGAACCTCCAGAGGACCCCGAAAAACTGTCCGCACCGGCCAGCTCCTGACCCCTCTCGGGGCAAGCGCCAGAAGCTCGGCCGCAGCTGCACCCCAAAACTCACAGCTCACGGGAATAAAGTGGCGAACTGTTTGTCTACAGTGACAGCGACACTCGGGAGGAGGAGCAGGAGGAGCAAGAGGACAAAGAAAAGGAGGAGCGCGATGGGGACGGGGGACGGCGAGGCGGGGAAGACTGAGAAGGAAAAAGGGGGGGAAGGCGGACAAGGCGACGGCGGCGCCCATCAGGAACACGAGTCAGGCCTGCACGGCAATCACACGTGAAAGAAAGAGCTCGAACGCCTCGAAGGAGCCACGGAAGCGGTGCAGTCGCACGCGGCGTGGAGGGGGGGGCTCGAGCGCCCCTCGGCGCCCAGCTCGGGCGCATCCCTGGGGCCAGAGGAGGGCGGAGGAAGGCGGAAGAGGGGTCTTGCCCCGCCCAGGCGCGAGAGGGGGGGGAGGGCGGCGGGGGCGGCGGGGGGCGGAGGGGGCGTAGGGGAAGGAGGGGGCGGAGGGGAAGGAGGAGGAGGAGGAGGGGAGGAGGAGGAGGAGGAGGAGGAGGGGAGGAGGAGGACGAGAACGAGGAGGTGGAGGAGGGGGAGGAGGAGGAGGGAGGAGGAGGAGGAGGAGGAGGAGGAGGAGGAGGAGGAGGAGGAGGAGGAGGAGGAGGAGGAGGAGGAGGAGGAGGAGGAGGAGGAGGAGGAGGAGGAGGGAGGAGGAGGAGAACGAGTAGGGGGAGGAGGAGGAGGAGGAGGAGGAGGAGGAGGAGGAGGAGGAGGAGGAGGAGGAGGAGGAGGAGGAGGAGGAAGGGCGGCGGGGGGCCGGGGGGGGGCGAAGAGAGCGGAGGCGGAGGGAGGCGGAGAGGGGCCTTGTCCTCGCTCTGCTGTCTGAGCTTCTGCTCGCTCGTGGCCAGCAGCTCCTCGCAGGGGGGCAGATCGCCGGCAGACCTTCGACGCCTGCCCCGCCGAGCTCGCCACCTGGAGGCGTCAACTCCAAACCCCATCAGAACGCCCAAGACCAGTCGTGCAAGCTGGTGCTACTTGGATTTCCACGTCGCACGTCGGTGAACGACCTGCTCGCCATCGGGAACGCCCGCCTGAGCACCTTCGCGACGTCGGCGGAGGCCGTGAAGAACATCGCGTGTGCATTCGGGATGGGAAAGAAAACTACGCTTCGCTTCGCGGCCGCGCCGGCCGCCTCCTCGTTCCTGGACAACTTTCACCGCGCCGGCGGCTCCTGGACGCACCCTGACCCGCTCCACCCCAACTCGGTCCATCGACCAGTTGCTCGTCCTGACGCGATGTCTGACGGCCCTGGGAGCCGAGAGCGGCACCCCCTGCATCGAAAGCAGAAAATACTAAACACCCCTTGAGCTCTCCATCCGCCCTGGGCAGTTCGTCTGAGAGGGCGCGCCCGTGGCGCACTGCCGAGAGGACGCTCCCCGCTCAGCTGCGCCCCCCCCCCGCCCCTTGGACGCCCCCTGCCGGAAGCCCCCCCCCCCTTCGGGGATGGACAGACCCCCCCTTAGCAAAACCTGGTTCAGTGAAAACGATCTGAGGCCCAAACCTGGCGGGCGCAAGCCTGGAAAATAACGGCCGCGGCGACATCTCGAGAACCGAAAGCGGACAATTCACTAATCGACATGTCACTGTTGGGGGTTCTGTCCACCCCCGACCCCTGCCTTTTTTCGCTCCCTCCGCGCCCCGCCGCCCCCCCCCCCCCGCGCGCCCCGGGAACTGCCCCGCCCCCCCCCCATCCGTTTCCGACGGGGGGAGGCTTATGACTACCTACCAGACCACCCCAACCCAACCCGAAGACCCGAATTTGACCCGAATTTCGGGTTGGGGGGGTACGGATTCCACGTGTTTTTTCAACGTTCCCTGACCCCCCCACACTGGAAATGGAGGGCAAATTGAGGGCTTCGGGTTGGGTTGGGGTGGTTTGGTGGGTGGAGAACTTAGCTACCCCCCTTTGAAACCCCCCTGCCCAAAGCGCCTCCCCCTCCCCCCGTTTGGGCTGAAGGGGGGGTCTTGGGCTCGAGGAAGGCGCGCCGAAGACCAGCAGAGCGCCGACAACCGACGGAGCGCACAAAGCCAGGAGGCCACGGAAAATCGACAGGGCGCGAAAACCAGGGGGCGCCGAAAACCAGGGAAACGCCGAAAGCCGATAAGCAAAAGGGCGCCGAGCGCGGAAAAAACAGAAGCTTCAAGGACGGACAGGGCGCCGAAAACAGACAGGGCGCCCCCCAAAAAAAGGGGCGCTAAAAACCGCAGGCACGCCAGAAACCTAAAGGGCGCCGATAACCAAAGAGGCGCCGAAAACCCATGGGGCACCGAAAACCAAAGATGCGCCGAAAGTCAAAAGGGCAATGAAAAACCAAAAACGCGCCGATAACCAAAAGGGCGCCGAAAACCAAAGGGCACAAAAAACGAAAGGCGCGCAGATAGCCGAAATTCGGGGATGGACAGACCTCCCTTTAGCACAACGTGGTTTAGTGCAAACGACCTCGGGCCCAAACCTGGCGGGCGCAAGCCTGGAAAATAACGGCCGCGGCGCCCTCTCGATAACTGAAAACTACGTCAAAAACCAAAGGGGCGCCGAAAACCAAAGAATGCCGAAAACCAAAGCGGCGCCGAAAACTAAAGGTGCCCCGAAAACCAAAAAACCACCGTAAACCAAGATGGCGCCGAAAACCAAAAAGGGCGCCGGAAAAGGGCTCCGATAACAAACGATGCGCCGAAAACCAAAAAAATGTGCGCAGAAAACCAAAATGGGCGCCGAAAATCAAAGAGGGCCGAAAACCAAAACGGCGCCGAATACAAAAAAGGCGCCGAAAACCAAAAAACCACCGTAAACCAAGATGGCGCCGAAAACCAAAGTGGGCGCCGGAAAAGGGCGCCAGAAACCAACGATGCGCCGAAAACCAAAAAGGGTGCGCAGAAAACCAAAAGGGGCGCCGACAAGCAAAGGGGCGCAGAAAACCACATGAGCGCCGAAAACCAGCGGGGCGCCGAAAACCACAGGAACGCCGAAATCCAAGGAAGCGTCGAAGGCCAAAAGAGCGCACAAAATCAAAGAGGCGCCGAAAACCAAAGAGCCGTCGAAAACCACAAGTACGCCGAAAACCAACGGAGCGCCGAAAACCAAAGAAGAAAAGTAGTTTGGAAACCCATCTTCAGCCAGGACCCTCCAGCTGGAAAGAACAACAGAAGGAGGGGAGGGGGGGAGCTTCGGAAACCTCCCCCCCTTTGGAAAGGGGAGCCCGGGCCTACCCCGGGCCCCGAAAAGGAGGAAGGGCGGGGGTAGCTTCCAAGCCCCCCCCCTTCAGACAGGGACCCCGCAGCTGCAACATGCAGACAAAAGGAAGGGGGGGAAGGGGGCGAGCTTCGGGAGCCCCCCCCCTCTTTGAACGGGGAGCCGGGGCTGACCCCAGGCCCCGAAAGGAGGGATGGGGGAAGGGTTCCAAGCCCCCCCCAACCCTGAGCAAAAAAAAAACAAGAAACAAAAAAAACAAGACAAAAAAAGCACCCACAGCAAAGAAAAAAACAAGGAGCTAGGGCACCCACAGCAAAAAAAAACAAGAAAAAAAGCAAGGGGAGTTGCTTCGGAAGCCGCCTCCTCACTTTTCCAAGGAAGGGGGGGAAGCTTGACGCTGGGCCCCCCATGTTTCGTGAGAGGTGCGCCACAAGCGCGCTCTTTCATACGCGTTCCCCCCCGACTCCTTCCAGGGCCCCCCTGGCCAATGCCTCGTCCAGGATTTGTTTCTGATGGATCCGGGGCCCAGAACGGGCCCCCGAGCGATCCTCGCGGCATCGCTAGCGACATGGGATCAACCAATATTTCCCCAGACAGGGTCCCCGGCCACCTAAAACAGGGCTAGGATCGGGATAACTCGCTCCAGAGCGTTCCGGAGCGCTCTCAGAGCGTTCCGGAACGCTCTGGAGCGGCCGCGGCGCCCAATACATCCTCCAAACCCGCCGATTCTCAGAGATTTCGAGTTATCCCGATCCGATGTTGCCCCGATCTTCGCGTCGTTTTGCCGCCTCCCGCCGGCTTTTCGAGCTGCGCCCAGACGCGGCCGCGAGAACCTCCGGACACCGCGGTCGCCACCACCGCCGTCGTCGTGGACTCCGTCGCTGGCGTCGTCGTCGTCGTCGTCGTCGCCGCCGCCGCCGCCGCCGCCGCCGCCGCCGTCGTCGTCGTCGTCGTCGTCGGCGTTGTCGTCGTCGTCGTGATCGTCGTCGCCGCCGCCGCCGCCGCCGTCGTCGTCGTCGTGGTCGCCGTCGCCGTCGCCGTCGCTGTCGTCGTCGTCGTCGCCGCCGAAGTCGTCCGTCATCCGTCGTCGGTCGTCGGTCGTCGCCGCCGTCGCCGTTCGTCGGGGCCGCCCGGGGCTCCGCGGCCAGCTTCCGGGCCGCCTCGCTCGCCTGGCGCTCCAGCGCCTCCGCGGCAGCCGCCGCCGCGGCGCTGCGCTCGGCCTCCTCGGCAGGACTACCGCTGGCTGGCGCCAGCGACGACGACGACGACGACGACGACGACGAGAACAGAAGACGGCGACGACGGCGGCGGCGGCGGCGACGACAGCCGCGGCGCCGACGACGACGACGACGGCAGCGGGGGCGGCGTCGACGACGAGCAACGGCGTCGGCGGCGACGGCGAAGACGACGTGCTCATCTTCTCCTCAGCGTGAAAGACTAACGGCGAAACGGGTTCGACAGCGCTCGGCCTCCAGGACCGCCAAGAAGCGGCTCGGGATGAGAAACTCGGCCCAGGGAAGGGGTAAAGACTTCTGTGACCCTTACCGTCGTCATCGACGCGGACGCAGTGGTCGTTGTCAGCGTTGCTATCATTATTATCATCCTCATCCTCATCCTCCTCCTCCTCCTCCTCCTCCTCCTCATCATCATCATCATCATCATCATCATCATCATCATCATCATCATCATCATCATAGTAATCATCATCATCAGCGTAATAATAATCATCACCACCATCAACATCATCATCACCATCATCACCATCATCATCGTCATCATCATCATCATCAGCATCACCACCATCATGAAAAATATGATAATGGTCGTCGTCATCGTCACCGTTACCATCAACATCATCATCAGCACCGTCATGGTAATCGTCGTCGTCCTGATCCTGATCCTCGTGTTCATCCACCTCCTTCTCCTCTTCTGCCTCACCTATCTTTTCGTCATCATCGTCAGCGGCAGCATCAGCATCAGCATCAGCATCATCATCAGCAGCATCATCAGCATCAGCATCAGCCTCAGCATCATCACCATCATTCTCATCATCACCATCATCGTCGTCATCATCAGTTGCATCAACATCAGCATCAGCATCGGCAGCAGCAGCATCAACATCATCATCAGCATCATAATCATATTCTTACTAATGTTCTTCATAATCGTCGTCATCACCCCCTCATCATCATCATCACCCCCTCATCATCATCATCATCATCATCATCATCATCATCATCATCATCAGCATAATCATCATCCTCATCATCGGCCGTCATAACCATACTCATCATAATCGTCGTCGCCGGCAGTTTCATGATCAGAAGCATCTTCATAATCACAATCACCACCAGCATGATCATCAGCAGCAGCAGCGTCGTCGTCGTTATCAATATGGTGGCTGTCGTCGTCGCCACCTTTCTCCTTGCCGCCGTACTCGATCCTCGTCGTCGGCGGCGCCGTCTCCGCCGTCAACACAACCGTCATCACTGCCGACGTCGCCTTCCCTGCATCACCGCCTACGAGGGCAAGGGAGGGGAAGGGGGGAGCACCAGCGGCGCTGCGTCGAGGGGGGGTGGGGGGCGGCCTCCACGTCCGCGCTGGCCACCGCCACACCCAGCCGCGGCACCACCTTTGGGAGGCCCCCGCTACACCCCCAGAGGGAGGGGGGTTCCAGAGGCCCTCGTGAAGATATCCTTCTCCTCATACTCATACGCCTGCCTATCCTCTTCCTGTTCCTCCTCCTTGGCCTCCTCCTCCTCCTCCTCCTCCGCCTCCCCCTCGTCCTGCTCCTCCTCCTTTCCGTTTCCTTGTACATAACTTCTCCCTGTCGCACCCCGGAGCGGGTTCTTAGGGCGGGCCGGGCGGGCCGCGTGGGTCACCATTTGTGACACTGACACTTAGACCTTGGCAACCGTTTCACCGATGGAGGGCGGATCGTTTTCAAACTGTGGCTCTCGCCTTAGCGCTGCGCACATTCGTTTCAAACAAATTGCTAGAGCTTCACAGATTGAGGGCAGGTCGTTTTCAAACTGTGGTTTTCCCGCACACAATCGTTTTTTTGCACAAGATTTTCACGGATTGACGGCCGGCCGTTTTTTTAATGCGGCTCTCGCTTTAGCGCCGCGAACATTCGTTTTTTAATTTGCAAAAGCTCCACGGATTGAGGGCAGGGCGTGTTCAAAATATGTTCCTCGCCTTAGTGCCGCGTACATTCTTCTTGAAAGTTTCACGGATTGAGGGCGTCTCCTTTTCAACATGTGGCTCTCGCCTTTGAGCCGCGCACATTCCTTTTTTAAACGTGTAAAAATTGTTCACGGATTCCCATGGTCAACGTACCAGAAGTGGTGCGTTAGAAAGACTCCGGATTTTGAGGGCGCAACAGTTACGTTGATTCGCGGTGTTGAAGTCCAAAGAATGACATTCTGGTACGATTCGGGATCGTCAAGACGCAACAGTCACGTTGATCCGTGGAATTGGAGTCCCGAGAATAATGTATTGGTATTATTCAAGAGCTTCAAACGGTTGTCTTCCAACGAGGCAGTTCCCTCAGTGGGCACGACTCCCTTTGGGGGCCTATGAGAAAAAAAGGGAGCTTGGAGGGAGGGCTTCTTCCAACTGTGGGATGTACACTCGTCCTCCTCCACCTTCTCATCCTCCTCATCTTTCTCCTCCTCCTCCTCCTCAGCCTCGTCCTCCTCACCCTCTTCCTCCTTATCCTCCCCCCCCTCCTCCTCCCTCCTCCTCCTCATCCTCCTCCTCCTCCTCCTCCTCCTTGTCTTCCTCCTCCTCCTCCTCCTCCTCTTCCTCCTCTCCTCCTCCTCCTCCTCTCCTCCTCGCCCGCCCGCCCGCCCGCCCCGCCCGCCCGCCCGCCCGCCGCCCTGTCTCCCTCCCTCCCTGCCTCCCTCTCTACAATCAGACAATATGAACACTGCTCTCCTCTCTCCCCTGGTGGCGTCCGGGAATTGTTCGGCCCTCCTCCGCGTACGAGCTTTTTGCACAGAGGATTCCCGGGAGCTGGGTTCTCGCAATGTTTTTGTCAAAATGCTGTTCTCGCTGAAGCGCTGGCATCATTTTCGGGCCACCGCTCGTTCCGCAACGTGCTCCCGCTGCAACGTTGGCCTCATTTCCGCGCTTCTACTCGTTCCGAATCGTGCTCCCGCTGTAGCGCAGGCGTCATTATTTCCAGCGCCATGCCACGGCACGTCTTTCGGTCCTTCCATGCAGGCCCCAAACTTTACAACATTGCCCCCCGAAAAAACAATCGGAATGTACTGCGCATGTGGTGTCAATTCGATGATTTGGGGGGCCGCAAAAGCCCCCCAGCCACTCTGGGGCGTCGCCACGCCATGCTATTTCAGGCTACGCGTCCTCATTTCCGCGTTTCCGCGCTTTGGGTTTTGTTCCAAATACTGCTCTCGCTGGAGCGCTGGCCTCATTTTCGGGCTACCGCTCGTTCCGCATCGTGCTCTAGCTGCAGCGCTGGCCTCAATTCCGCGTTTCCGCTCGTTTCGAATCGTGCTCCCGCTGTAGCGCAGGCGTCGTTATTTCCAGCGCCATGCCCCCCCTCCCCGGAAAAACAAAAACATCCGAAGTGATTACACATTCGGTACCGATTCGTTGATTTCTGGGGCCGCAGAAGCCACCCCCCCCCCCACCTTGAGCCGTCGCCACGCCATGCTATGTCAGGCTGCGCGTCATCATTTCCGCGCGTCCACGCTTTGGGTTTTTTCCAAATGCTGCTCTCGCTGAATCGCTGGCCTCATTTTCGCGTTTCCGCTCGTTACGAATCGTGCTTCCGCTGTAGCGCTGGCGTCATTATTTCCAGCGCCATGCCACGGCACGTCTCTCGGTCCTTCCATGCACGCCCCAAAATTTAAAAGATGCCCACCCCACCCCACACCGGGAAAAAAGCATGGGAAGTTATTACACACTCGGTGCAGATTCGTTGATTTGTTGGGCCGCAAGAGTCCCCCCCATTTTGGGGCGTCGCCACGCCATGCTATGTCAGGCTACGCGTCCTCATTTCCGCGTTTCCGCGCTTTGGGTTTTGTTCCAAATACTGCTCTCGCTGAAGCGCTGGCCTCATTTTCGGGCTACCGCTCGTTCCGAATTGTGCTCCCGCTGCAGCGCTGGCCTCATTTCCGCGCTTCCGCTCGTTCCGAATCGTGCTCCCGCTGTAGCGCAGGCGTCGTTATTTCCAGCGCCATGTCACGGCATGGTTATGGGCCCTCCCAGATACATCAAATCTAAAAAAATACCCCCGAGGAAACCATCCGAAGTGATTGTGCATCCGGTGCCAATTCGTTAATTTGTGGGGCCGCGCCCCTCCACTTTGGGGCGTCGCCACGCCATGCTATGTCATGCTACGCTGGCGGAGGCAATACGATTGTCGATGGTCCCAGAGGTGCCGTGGAAGACGCATGCTGGAACGTTGTTGGAAGTTGAGCATGCTGAGTTGGGGTGGTGGAACGGGGCTCTTACGACGGCGAAACCACCCCCCACGGCGGCGAGACCCACTAGGAAGGCCAACCCAGAGAGCAAGAGGCAGAAGAAGCTGCAGGAGGTGAAGGAGTAGAGATGCGCGCAGCTGGAGAAGCTCCTGCAGGAGGCGTTCGAGGAGCTCCAGCTGTCGACGACGGGGAACGTGGAGGAGGAGCAGGTTCCCTTCCACATCACCGAGGAGACGTGGGAGCAGGCCCAGGCACCGGGCCAGGTGGAAAAGGTGGGAACCTGCCCCGCACCTCCTCCTGGACAGGGGCGCGAAGTGCGGGGATCGGCCGGCTCGGGAGGAGGCGACGACCACACACCACCATCTGCAGGACGCGGAGGCAGCCCCAAGTGCGCGGAAGAGCCCAAGGACCTCGTGCCACGTGGGAGCAGACGCGCGCTGCCCCCGACCGTCCATGTCTCCCCGATCCTGCTTCGGAATGATGGAACGTCTGTACGACCTCCTCCTCCTCCTCGTCCTTCTCCTCCTCCTCCTCCTCCTCCTCCTCCTCCTCCTCCTCCTTCTCCTTCTCCCTCCTGACACTCCTGGTCAGAGCGGGAGCATTACGGCGAGCGAGACGAGGATCCGATTGAGTTGTTGGCGGTGGGTGGCACCGATGACGAGTTTACGATGTTCAGCGCGGAAGACCAAGTCGAATGTTGGCTTGGAATGATGAACGCGATCACGGAGTTGAATAGCGTTCCAGGGGCTACAGGAGCAGGCCGAGAGGTTCAAGAACAGAGCGTTGGGTTGGTCATTATCGAACTCTCGGAGAAGCTTCCAGTCATGGGCTACGAGGATGCGGAAATATATGCCAGGAGTTCTGCATCGATCTGCCAGCGGGGTGCTGGATAGACCTGATGAAAGTGTTCCGGACTCGAGCGTGTTCTCCTCACCCAGCGAGAGGATGTACTACTGAGCTGACAGGTGGCAGAGAGCATAGAGCAGTAAGGACTACGACCGGGCGAACATCATTTCAGGCCTAGAGCACGTCCACAAGGGAGCACTGCAGCAGGAAATGGAAGAGATCACTACGGGGCAGATCTACCAAGCCACGGCCAGCACGAGCGCGAAGGAGTCGAAGGGAATTGAGCTGATGGGACCACTGGAAGTTCAGAGACTACAGTCGGGGCGTTGACCTAATGAACCCAAAATAAGGAACGAGGCCCCTTTTTCCATAAGTTAACCTTCGATTTCCCATCGAAAACATAAGGAAAACCTGAGGCAAGCTGCGAAACACTTAAAAAACGCGGAGCCCCTTCCCAACGAAAAGGGTTCCTTCTTCAGGGCCCCGACTGTACCGCATCGAGGAAAGGATCAGTTGCAGTCAACCCGCAGAGTAAGGATGCGCGATAAGGATGTAAGGCACTCGGACGCCCAACTCAAGCGTTTCGAGCGGGGCGCGGCCAACGAAAGTGTCCAAGGATGGACCCAGGAAGCAAGGATGCAAGGGTACCCTCGGGAGGGATGCTTATCCTAACTCTGCGGGCGCGACGTGCAGAACAGAGGCACGCGGCCAGGTCAGCTATTTCCGGTCATGGGCGCGGTAGCTCCGAAGCCACGTGGAGGAGACAGGGCATTGGGTCTGCTTCCCTGTTTTGTCAAGTTGTGGGCGAAGGCGCGCAGTTCAGAGACGCCCCAGTGGACATGCGACGCAGACGAGCACTGGGATATCGCGATGCGCAGGTCGCAGGCACTACAGGCGGCTTTAGTGCGGGGTCTACCCGATGAATCAGCACGAGAATTGCATGTTTCATCGTCGACTTTCTTGTTGGACATCGAAAATGTTACGACAGTCTGGATATCACAGAATTGTGCGCGGCGGCCCTGGCACAAGGCTTTCCAGCAGTGGTGCTACTGCTGGAGCTGCAGATGTGCTTGGCTCAAAGATCGCAGTTGGACTTCGCATCAGACTCAGTCGCAGCGAAGCATCGTTGCAGGGTCTCTCAGTGGCGGTCGCATGGCCAAGGCCTTGTTGGGACCTGTGCTGGAGAGAGCCCATCGACGATATGGCATGAAGCGAAGGCTGGCTGCGCACCTGTGTGGGCGATGCGGCGATGCGAGCTGGAGGCACACAGAGGCAAGCCATCGAAACCACGATCGAGGTCGGGAGTCACACACGTGCGAGCAGTTTCGGCAGG